AGAGATAATTTACGGTTGTTGTGTAATTAATTCTAAGTTATGATTATATTCTTTTATTTTAAATTATAATTATTGTAACTCAATGATTTAATAGACTTATCAAGTTATGTAATGTAATAATTTTTTTTTATTTAGATTTTTTTCTACATCTTTTCTACTTTATTAGAACATGATGAAACACAGGATAGAAATTTGTTCTTATTTTTCAAGACAATATATTAGATGAGGTCATTCCCGCCCTGTTCTATGAATACTCCTAAGTATATCGCAAGACACTAATTAATGGGATAGCAATAATATTTATTAATTGATAATCATCCCGATCCTTATTATAAAGATATACTTAATTAACTCTGTACTTATTAAAGAATGTGTGTGTGTATCTCTTTAAATTTGTTTTAAAATAGGAGCTTTTACATATATAACCTATGTTATAGGATCAAATTAAGCAAACAGCTCAACATTTATTATATTTTACATTATGGTCAATTTATTCTATTTATCAATGATATATCATTATATGTCAATGATAAATTCTTTGTATATCAATAATAAACCCTCTATATATCAATGAGAACTGATCACGTTGCTAAATGTTCAAAAATTTAGTTCATATTTTTTGGGAACAAATTTTTTTCCAGCTATTGAGCCAATATATCCTTAAAAAATACGAATTTCTTTAATTTTATTATTTTTTGTAATTAATAACTAAAATAAATTGTTGTTTAAGAATTGAGACGGTAATAAATAAACAGAGGATGAAGTTAGGAAAAATCAATCACTCTAGCTCTGGATTTATATTAAAGACAAAAAAAAGATTTTAAAATATATCTTAAACTAAAAAGTGAGGATTATGCTATATCATTTGTATTGTTTCATCGGATTTCTATTATAGGGCATTGATGACATCTTCTAGAAGAATTTTTCAGCCTTTAACACAACAACATTTGATAGGATAATATTTTCTTTATTTTATTAATTATAAAAGAAAATGTAATACAAATTTGACTTTTTTATTTAAAATAGAGGTAAATTTAAAAATTATTTTATTTTTAAATAAAGTTAATAATTTGATCATATTTTTTAATTTTAATAAAATAATTAAAAATGTCTTACGATAAAGGCAATGGGAATTTCTCACGTTGCAGCTCCTCGCTCTTTAAAGACAAAAATCAACCGAATCTGGGATGTCCCAGATCCAATCAGAAACAACAATTTCGGTGGATTATTAAAGAGAAGTGTATTTTCTTTTAAAAAGAGGATGGGTAGGTGAGGCGCTCATGAATGAAACCTTTCGGTCAAGTCGGCTTCGAGTATTCTTGCCACATCGGCCTCGACCCTCTGGCCAATTCGCTTCCTTAAAAACTTAATACACCTGTTTAGTTTTAGGCTTTTATAGATATAATTCTTATTATATGATTAAATTAAATAAATAATTTAATATTTATTATATTTTATATCATAACCAATTTATTATATTTATTAATAATATATCATTATATATTAATAATAAATTTTTTATAAATTTTTAAATTTTAAATAATAAACCCTTATGTATAAATAACGTGAATTGGTCAAACTTTTAAATTTAAATTTTTAAAAATTTAATTCATATTTTTGAGTACAAATTTTTTTAATTAGTGAACTAATTTATCCTTTTATTTTTGTCCATTTATTACCACGTTTTTATTAAAAATGTTTGCGTAATTTTTTTGGGGGGTCATTTCTTCTGCTGAATATTTTGCCTGAGTCCGTTACAGCCAAGAAGAATGCTTTGCGCTTAGGGCGTGTTTTTCTTTTTAGCCATTTGAGGGTGTGCTTTTCACATTATCAATAAAATAATCATTATCACATCTAATATTATATTATTATATTATATTATTATATTATGGTAATCAGTCGTTGGGCTGAGGGGCCCTCACTTTAGAAAAATTACTAGTGGAGCATGTTAAATTTACATCTTCATACCCTCTATTTTTAATATTTTACCCTCGTTGAATTAAATAAAAAATATTTAAATTTAAAAACTTATTAAATATATAATATTTTAATAATTTAAATAAGATATTAAGAGCATATTTATAATAAAAAATCATATCAACTTACTCAATATAATTTTTTAAAATAAAAAAATAATGATAAATTTATTTATAATGATAAATTTATTTATATTATTATAATTTTAATCCTGACATCATTATTATTATTTTTAAAAAATATTAATTTTTTGTTAAATTATTCTGTATTTCTTAATTCAGGATTCTAGCTCCGTCACTTGTTGTAATAATTACAAATAAGTCAACTATGTGGTATGTTTTTCGGAGGTCTTCCAAAAGAAATTCTAGAAGGAACCATGGGAAAGTCCGTCTCAATATTCAGGTAAGAAAATCGTAATGTATCTGTCAACGGAGCTTTTGCGGCTGGTGTTGATATACTTTTTTTTTTTAAATATATTTTAGTATCAATTAAAATATACAATAAAAAGACAAGTCACGACTCGTTAAGTCTGCAAGTACCAAAATAAGTATAAAAAACAAAAGCTGAAAAAGGCAAGTTGGCCGAGGCTGGTATTGACATGCAGTGGATGACGATGTAATAATAATGGGAAGATGACGCTTTGCGCCTCACTTTGGAAATAAAACTTCGCTTTTAAGGTCTCTTGACCCGTTAAAAAAATAAATTGATGAGAATGCATTCACACAATTAATAACATAACCAGGCCGTAAAAATCGAAATGCATGGTTGTAAATGCTAGATAGATTAACATAAGAAATAAAAAAACTAGTTGAAAATAATTTAAAAATATAATTAATATCATAATTATTTTAATTAATTATTCAATGTTGAATTTTTTGAAATTGTTATCTAGCTATGAGAAAATATTAAAAAACATACTTTTTTATTTAAAAACATAAGACATTTTTAACCGAATCTCACCCCCAATAAAATAGTTACCTACTTTTCAACTAATTCTATCTTTTCATATTTACTCATATTAAATACTCTATAATAAATATAAAGTCACTATCAATAGGGACACTTTTAAAAAAATGACAATGATTATACTTTAAAAGACTAAAAATACCTTATATTTTTAAACACCTAATTCTTCAAAAAATACTTTATATTTTTAAATGAAGGAAATATTAAATATTATTTTTAGAATATTTTACGGAATGGATGAAAGAAGAAGGTTATAACCCAAAAACAGAAAAAAAAAAACAAAGGAAAAAAAATAATGCCTTTTTTATTTTATAAGGAGTAAGTTCCACTAATCACAAATAATATTTCCCTTAAGATGGATAGATTTCTTCCAATTAAATTTTTACACATAAGAATTAGGATTTCAAATTTCCACTACTTGCTTTAATGACGAGAGCCTCTATTGCTTTTGTTAATTTTAATTGATAAATTGACACATCATCTTGTTTGAATAAAAAATGTTTTTAATAAATAAAATAATTTGTCATGAATATTTTAATATATTGTTATACTAGTGATACTACAATAATTTGATCCCATTTCATTTTCATCGAACCACATAAAAATGAGTCAAAATATCCATCACTTTTCCAAATTCCAAGTATTCCAAATACAGTGATATCATTTCATCAAATCTCCCTCCCATTTTCATTTCTACTGCTACTATATCATTTTCTTTCCCATTAACGGGGTCAATGGGATCTGCAAAAATTGAAAGCCTGGTTCCATCAAAATATCGATACCTGTCTCACGTGTACTCACCCTCCCTGCAGTGAGAGATGAGATGATAAATTCTACTGGAAGTCATCTACGAATGACTGTTTTTCTGTTAAATTTACTTTGCACAAAATTTTCTTTCTGCAAGTATGAGGAATGGCAAGGACAACATTTGGAAGATTCTATGGATGTGGCCAATAACTTAAGAGGATCAAACCTGCTACACAAGACAGGACAAGATTATATTACAAAAAAAAGTTAAGTGGGCGACTCTCTTCGGTTATACGAGCCAAGACACTAGGGTAGCTAGGTGTAATGGAGTTTTCGATTTGGAAAATAATAATGAACATCATTATGTGCATTCTAGTTTCTTCAGAGCCCCCTCGAACAGGGATTCAACCAATTTAACACCCCTACTGTTTTACCAATGTAGCCAAAATTGGGGTAGATTTATGTCCAGTCCAGGGGAGGCTCCGTGAAACTAGAAATATGAGTCAGTTTTTGACTAATGGATATAGTGGCTGCAGTGGAGTGGGAATTGATTCAGGGCATTCAATTGTAAGTTAATTTACGTTCCCCTTGCAGGTGTGGAAGTGCTCGGTATCATCCACGAACTCCGGTTATGCAGGATAAACAGTTTCAGGAATGTGGACATTTGTTGTGATTGTCTTGAAACTTTTACTCTTTTATCCAGAGGCTACAGAAACTCTCACCCCTTCAAGGAAATCATTGAGGACGCAATAATGATATGCATTATAGCTAGGGACCGTTTCTTGGTGTTATGCCATTTGCTTAGAGAATGGAATTTATATGCTTAACCATTTGACTAGACTTTTGCATAGTTTAGGTGATAATTTTTCTATCTTTGATCATCTCCTACCTCTCTCTCTGTAAAAAGAAAGCGTATGACGAGGGAGATCCCTCAGAAGCTACGAGCGTTTGTAGTATCTTCTGTAATGCATTTTCCAGATTTTATTTAAAGAAACATTTGGACAAGACACCAACCCAACCCAGCATGTGAGCGGAACAAAGGCCACATTTGTATTTAAATTCAACTGAGTCTAAAGCCCAAACAAAAGGCCCGTTAATGATGGCGATAAGGTTTTCCTGTGGGACCCATCTTGTGGCCCCTTGAAATCAAAATCCTGTGACCAAGGTGGGAAGCTCTCGCAACACGTGGCAGATTTTTTGTGACTTGATGCAAAGCAGAGCCATGCCAAAGCGGAATCTTACGTGGAACGTAGCCAATGGAAATGGAAATCTGGAGTGATATTTCGCAAAGGAATCAGCGCCGTCGCACCTCCCACCATACATTTTCTCTTTGCCTTATCTCTTTCCCTCCAAATTGAACTACCCTGTAATTCCCAACTGCACATAACACAGTTTCTACGATCACCACATTATTTCTCCTTATGGCTAGCAAATTAGCCATCACATTGACGTGCCCACGTCCATCTACCCCTCCTAGGCCACCTTCACTGCCTCCAATATATTCTCTCCCCTCTCCTACTACAAGAGATCGGCTGATTCAGTTTCATGGCCGGCAATTGTACCTTCGGCGCCGGCTGTTCCTACTTCCCCCTAACGCCACCGCCGATCAACAAGGTCAACCTGGCTCTTCAATTCTTATTTCTTCTTAACGTCTCCGGATTGGATGTCTGCTAACTCTGATTTTCTTTTTCCGGGATTTCAGGCCAGGTTGAAGAAGATGACGTTGTTGATGGTAAAATCCTCCAGTATTGCAGCATTGACAAGAAAGAGAAGAAATCGGTCGGTGAACTCGAGCAAGAATTTCTTCAAGCACTGCAAGTATGTCCCCGATCTTTCTTAAAAAGGATTTGTTCAAATGTATTGCTCTTTTTTAATGAGTGGACATAAAAGAACAGAAACGACTACTTCTTAGAGACAAAATTAGATGAAGCTAAGGCTTATGTTCTGTTCTGCTTCAACAGGCATTCTATTACGAGGGAAAGGCTATCATGTCAAATGAGGAATTTGATAATCTCAAGGAAGAACTTATGTGGGAAGGAAGTAGCGTTGTCATGCTAAGTAAGGACCATCCTTACTAAAAATTGCATCTGTTGAAATTAGTTAAGTTCTGCTAATTGTTTAACTTTTTTTTTTTTTTTAAATAACTCTGTTGCTTCTCTGCGCAGATTCTGATGAACAAAAATTTCTCGAAGCTTCTATGGCTTATGTTTCTGGAAAACCAATCATGAGCGATGAAGAGTATGATAAATTGAAAATGAAACTAAAGGTTCGCAGTGCTTATCATTAAAAAAAACCCTTGGTATACTGAACGGGGAATTTGTGAAATTGCATTTATTGACCAAATAAAAGTATTGAAGAGTTTAAGGAATGATAACAAAACTAAACATCCGCTATGCTCATTATGAATAGAAACCTTTAGTACATAGAGCCGCAGTAATCATCGGTACTTCTAAATTATGCGGTGGAGCTTTTTGCCATCCTGCGATATCAATGCTGTCGAAGGATATTTGAGTTGCATAGTAAAAAGACAATTGGTATTGCAGTTTATGAGGTGTTTTGCTTATGGTAGATATGCCGATCATACAAATTTGGGGACGGAGCTGGAATTGCTTTATAATATATACGTTCTTCTCTCTTCCCGTATTATTTGCTGATATCATGTTGCTTCCCAGATGGAAGGGAGTGAAATAGTGGTTGAGGGTCCACGATGCAGTCTTCGCACTAAAAAGGTGTGCGCTAATCTGCAAATTCTTATATCCCTTGAGTTCTGATTGTTAATAGTAGAAAATCGTGCTTGGCTGCTTGTTGATTAAATCAATCACGAAGTACTTAATGAAAAATGTTATGATTCTAAACAAAAGAAATCGAACTTATGATTCTAAAAGCAGTTATGCTACAAGTACTGGCAGAATATCGCCTGAGTTTTATATGTACATACTTTTACTAGAATTCTGCTATAGGCTTATGTGAAATGGTAAGTAGATACTTGGCTCTACTCTTCTTAATCTTTATTATTTATCACCGTTACAATCTTTTTTCTTGAATAGGTTTACAGCGACCTATCTGTTGACTATTTGAAGATGTTCCTCCTTAACGTACCGGCAACTGTCATTGCATTGGGACTGTAAGTAGCATTTTTTCTTTCCCATGAGTTGCGTGGGTTCGTGATGCATTTCAAAAAGCTTCCACTTCCTGTCTTAGCCACTGCCATTGATTAATCTGAAATTCTGAATGACAAACTTTACCTACGATTAGGTAACAGAGTTTGATGCATTCTTTTATAAATTTCTCTTTCCAAAGGATTATTAACAATGTGTTGTTCATTTTAAAGTGACTGAAAGGGTCGTGTTGCATATTGCCCAAGGGCCAAGGCCCATGTAACTAGTGTTTGCCAATTTACACTTTAATTTTCTGGCAGTCATTTTCTACCTATGCCCGTTTGTTACGTGGTTGATTACTTACACATGCACTATTTACTGATAAGCTTGATCATATTTTTATGAAATTTTGTAATGCAATTTAGTTATCTGATATATAACAAGCTTAGAACTAGAGATTGTTTATTACACTGGTATCCATTTCCTTTATTTATATATCTTAAAAGGTTTGTTGGCATTTATATATATATATATATCTTAAAAGGTTTCATTATGCTGAGGGGCAAACAAAGTATTTCTTTGATTTCTTGTCAGTCCAACTGATGTTTACGTGAGTGAGGTCATGACCTTCGGCCTTTTCTTTTTTATATTTTTTTTCACCCTGTAATATGTTAGGTTCTTCTTCCTTGATGATCTGACCGGATTTGAGATCACATATCTTCTAGAGGTATGTTGTCATTTTTCTTGTTCTAGCATTGGAAACTGGTCATTCGGATGCAATTTGATTCGAGTTTTTTTAATCCTTTCTACCACCTTTTTCATATTGAGAATCTGATTAGCTGTGGGTAGTATTAGATTTCCTATTCTTTGTAGTAAAATTTTTTATTCCAGATTGCATTATATGATGGTTGGTACTTGCGTTTTTTTTTTTAATCCTTTTTATCACCACTTTCATATGAAGAATCTGACTAACTGTTGATATCATTAGAGTTCCTATAATTTGTAGTGAAGGAATGGATAAAATTACCTCTGAATGGCATGAAGTGCATTTTATGTGCTGACTATAATTGTTGTTGTTCATGATCGTCGTATTTTTCTCGTTTCAATTTCAAAATATATACGTTGTCTTGACTGCTGACCCGAACAATGAAGAAGACAATTGTAGTCAGTATAGAATATGGTTGTCAATGAAACATTTTTTTTGAACTTTTTAATCCTAGCTGAAGGGTCAGAAAAAATGAAAGCTGGGCCTAAAAGATGAATTCTTTTTTATACATCCTAAAAGATGAATTCTTCACATCTCATGTAAATTCAAACAGTATTTCAGAACTTTGAAAATTGTATTGCATTTGATGTTATTATCACTGAATGTGACTTGACATGCAGCTGCCTGAGCCTTTTAGTTTCATTTTCACCTGGTTTGCTGCTGTCCCCCTCATTGTGTGGCTAGCTCTGTCACTTACGAATGCGATTGTGAAAGACTTCTTGATTTTAAAGGTATAAACTCTGGAAATGGTGTCTCTATTATGCTGTACTTACCAAAACTTATACTTACAAGCAGTTATTTAACAAACAGGGTCCCTGTCCAAACTGTGGAACCGAAAATACTTCGTTCTTTGGGACTATATTGTCAATTTCAAGTGGTGGTTCCACCAACAAAGTCAAATGCTCAAAGTAAGTATGAAACAGTGGCTGCTTAATTGGCTAAAGATTGTACTCTATATGATACTATAATTAACTGAAGAGCTTAAGTTTAAAAAATGAAAATAACTTGTTGATTCAGCTGCGGCACTGATATGGTATATGATTCAAGTACAAGATTGATCACATTACCAGAAGGGAGTAACGCTTAAGTTAAGGTATGCATACTCGTACTTTAATTTAAAATCTCTGCTAAAACAACCATTATTGGAGCATATTTGCCTATTTGGTTCGCATTACAGGTGTGGGGAAGAGGACATGACCTGGATCTGTTGACTGTTGTGTAGGGACACCTTGCACACATGGGTGCCAATCTTCCGGGAACTGGGAACAGCTCATTAATAAAAGACGGAAGAAACTTCCATGAAAAGTACTCATCGAGACGTCCAAGTCACACACACCATAGATGGCGTTTCCATATTGTTATTTTGTGTTACTGTCATGCTTGTAACTTCTAAAGAAACGGGCTTTGTATAGTACTTACATATGTTAGAAGAGGTTGCAAATTTTCCTCGCTTCCTTTCACTTATCTCAGCAAGGTGGGATTGATTGAAACCAGAAAGAGATCCAATCAGACGCCTTATCTAAGAACAGATGAAGGAACAAGAGAGATCACTCTTCGCAACATTGCCAAAAAACCGAATCTTATTAGAAAGTGAGTCAATAGGCGAGCACCAGCTCGTGCTGGCCAATGCATGCTTGTAAACCGAATTAGAAGCAACGTTGTTTCTAATGCTTACAGCTTATTGTTACGGGACTACTTTTTCGACCTGCATAGCGCTTAAATCTTTGATGGAAGATGTTAAATAAGCTTGATTTGTTAAGGAAGAGGATGCTTTGGCAAAGTTGAGGATTGAAAATCTTGAGAGCAAAAAATAATTGAAAGAGCTTGGGAAGTATGAGAGTTATACTGCCTTGAAAACTCAATAATGGGACTTAAGGATGGTTACAAATGAAAAAAAGTAAGGTATTTATAGATTTTCTCTTATGTTTGGGATGTAATTCCCACTTAGTAATGGAAGGTGGAGATTAATTTGATCCTATGGTTGACATTGATTTTTTAAAATTCTTTATAAGATATTTTACAACAAATATCTAGATATTTATAAGAAATTTTTTAAATTTTATCTCAAGATATTTGTACTAAAGTTGTCTAGATTTTTTTAAAATTGTCTTGCACACTCTAGCCATCTTAAGGATAATCAAAAGTCTTTTGAAAGATTCTAAAATGTTTTAAACCATCTTAACTTCTTGAAAAATCGTAAATTGTGACATTAGGGTTAATTTGTATTTGGACCAAAAGTACTTTACAATTCATATGAAAACAAAAATGCAAATACAAAAAACTAGAAATGAATAATAATTCCGCTTGAAATCATGTGTCGAGTTCAATGTATGTGGCATGTACATGCTTTGCCAACACGTCAATGTTGATTGAATTTCAACTTTGAATAAATCTTAGTTACACAATTAATGTTATATTTATTCATAGTTTTTTGTTTTTGGACAAATATTTACTCATAGTTTAAACATTCATAAGGAATGTTATTCATTGGGAGAATGATATTTGAAATCAATATATGCTCGGTGGATGAATAGAAATGCAGGACTCAAACTGTAGACTCAAACTGTTTTTATATATGTTAAAAACCTTATGTTGGTGGATCTCACGAAAGCTAAGTGCTACTCCAATGAAATTGGGGAGATATACATACAGACATGTATATCGATGCGATGCATGTGTCATTATGAGCATAAAGGGCCTGAGATAGCTTACTCAGTCATGTCCTCCGCCCATCAATTTTGTAGCTTCTTGTTGGTTTCATTGTTGCTCCCACTCATCGGAAAAGCACCAGCAGCCTGCAGGAATATTTCAACCAAGCCAATGGGCTTCTGCTCCCGCCCCGATATGGGTATAATTAACATTATACATTCACGTATCTAATCTTCAGCATGTCTACTATTATGACAGTAATCCTTTCTTTTTAATGTAGCATAGGAGCAGCATGTGGGCATGGAAATTTGTTTGCGAAGGGTTACGGGACTGACACAGTGGCATTAATTGAGCTCCACATTATTCAACAATGGATACGCGTGCAGGGCAACTTCTTAATTACTCCCGCCATCTTAAATTATAAAATATTTTTAAATAAAATTTTATATATCAATAAATCTTCTGAAATACATCTCACAACCTTATTTTTTTTGAAATAAAAATATAAAATTAAAAAAAATCTATCATTTAATATATTAAAAAAAAAGATAAAAATTAATTATAAAGAGAAAAAGAATAATATTAAAATTAATACATTTAATAAAATTTTAATTTATTAAAAATGTTATATTTTTTGAGATAGAAAAATTTTTTTAAAAATATTTTATAATTTAAAATAGAAATAATATCAAATATCACGCAGCCACCAAACCATTAACTTGCCCTCCTAAGTGGGCCCAATCCTCTGACAAATGGTGGCTGGTGAAACGCATCTCCCACTCATTTCGACGTGTCCGAGCCCGCCTTCATGAAAATCCCCTACTACCATCCGGCGTGTCGTCCCCGTCCTGTATCGCAGGTAACATCTCATCCTCAAATAAAAATCACATCAACTGTGTTGGAAGTGCTTGGATGTATAGTGTGACTTAATCCAAATTACAAACCTTACATGGATAAAATTGGACTAGAAGAAGTATTAACTAGAAAGACCCATGGTTTTAAAACTTTTAGATTAACGAGTGATCATACAGAGTCCACTTAAATACATGCTTTCTTGAGGCAGCTAAAGTAGGAATTAAGCGATGATTAATCATTGCACCTTGGTTCGTACGCAGAGTACGGTTCGTGAGGAGTGGAGGGATTACCAGGCATTTGCATCACTGCCTGCCCGATCTCTGTCTTTCAATCTCACTTCCTACACTTCGCTTCCCGCCACACTCCCGTTTTCTTGAAATGTTGTTCCTCCCTACAATAATATTCTCATGTATGTCTTATACTCTCAAACGATTGATAATTTTACAAGAGTTCATCGGATTCTTTTAGAAAAGCTTCTCTAATTGTCTCAATCCGTGATCTGTCTTTAAATCAAGTATTCGTCGCTTGAGATCTGTTTGAATAGTGCGAGAGGTCCTCAATTGTGTCTCAATACAATTAATGTCCCGCATGCTGCGAGACGTGATTGGTATTATCTATTAAATTAATGAAGAGCTTTGGGTTAATTTCTTCGATATAGTATATTAATTAGTGATCAATGGTAGAACCGTTGAAATACATACCATTAAATATGTCAGTAGCTAGAATTAGAATTTTAGTAGAAGAGTTTATAATCTGTACTGTGCATGCGCAGGGTTGGCCAGAAATTACTTCCCTCACACAATTCCATAATTAATAAGCACTCCAAATCTGATTTTTGTCTTGTAAACATGGATGAGATCTAGACAACCTGTTTCAAGTCATCTGGTCGGGAAGCTTGACGATCACTGAACTTAGATGCTTCTCTTTGCCAACACGTTAACCATAAGCAATCTTTCATAACAGGCTGGACATATATGATTTTCAAAAAACCCCTGTCCCCCCTAGAATTATTTTAATTTCATTTTTTTGAAAAAAAGTATGAAGCATTTATTATTAAAACAACTCATCAGCATCAACTTACGTCAATAAGTTGGCATATATAATTCCCCTTGTATAGTAACTCCCGGAAGGGGGAATAAAACTGAGTTTCATATATATTTTTTCATATGATATTGTTAATATTGATGTGTACATGAATCAAGAGAGAGTTTAGAAAATTCTAACTCTTATAATTATATATATTCACTAGAGACAAGTGCGATGATAGTTTTGCCAGTATTAGTCTATCATCACAAGAAACAGACATTATATCGTCACATGAACGGACGTGCCTTGCTCTCGAATAGCATCAGATCGGTGCTTAATTGTAGATTTCTTATTTATCTTTCTATTATAAAATAATATTTATTTATTTTTACCAGTATAGAATACTATTTATATTTATACATTAAATATTCCAATCTTGACCCTATTTACTTCTCAAATTGTGTGATAGTGCTGAAATTTTTAAATATCTGATGGATATCTACGCTGAAATGTGCCTGAACCGAACCGTCGCTTGCGAATTCTCCCCGGATTTGTTTTGCAGCCATGCTGTCTACAAATAATTATTTGTATACTATATCTATGAAAAAAAATTTAATTTTATCAACGAAGTTGGACTATTTGATAAGGTGTTTATTCATAACTTATTAGGTCATGAAATTAAATATTATTACCAATATAAGACCTTTATTATTGGACAATTTATAAATATTTTTATAGGCATTTTTAAGCCTGAAGGCATGTTCTAGCCCGACAAATTCTTAAAACTCAACTCATATAAACTTTATATTGTCAAAAAAAAAAATCTTTAATTCTCTTCTATTAAATATTTTTTGTTATGATATATGAATAGAGATATTATATCTGTCCATATATTCATAGCAATTCTTATATTAACGGCTACGGAAAAAGTTAGATTAAATTGTTTTTTCAGTACAACGTAATGTAATGAATATATATTATTTCAAGAAAAATAAACGAGTATCTTCTCTCAAATTATTTTTAAGTATAATGTAATACATATCATATTATTTTAAGAAAATACAAAACTGTTACTTCATCCGTTAAAAAATAGAAAGCATTTTTAATTAAATTTTATCTTTTAATAAAGTAGTTACTTATATTCAAATTAATTTTATCTTTTCATATTTATTTCTATTTAATAAGATGTTTAACTCTAAAATAAATATAAAATAATTTATTTAATAGAGGCACTTTTAAAAAAATAATGATTACATCTTGAAAGATAAAAAATATCTAGTAAAGGGAAGATAACTTCAATGAAATTGTGAGTGGATGAATATGTATTTTATTTTGTCATTAAAGAAATAAAAAATATAATTTTTAGTTTCTAAATTTTCTCTTTATTATTAATTAAATAATATAACTTTTAGTTCTTTAATTTTTTTTATTATTGATTTGGTCATTGAACTTTAATTCAATGTGACTTGATTCTTGTAGTTTATTGAGTTATAAAATTATACAAATTAAATTGCATTACATCAATAACAAGTTATAAGGATGGAATTGTTTTGAGTTATAGATATTAAATTTATATGATTGAGGAAAAATTTGAAGACCGAAGGTTACATTTTCTTATTATTAATTTAGTCACTAAAAACTGACCCAAAAAAATTTAGTTACTAAAATTTGACTTAAAATAACTCAGTTTTTAATTTATTCAATTAAAGAATTATGTAGATTTAATTATTTTGAATTACAAAACTATAGAAATTAACTCATTTTAAATTAAAAAATTATAAAAATTAAATTATTTCGAGTTAAAATTTAAAAACTATTAGATAATTAAAGAAAATTTTAGGAATCAAAAGTTATATTTTTTTTTTTTCAAAAACATATATTCTCTTCTCAACTTATTATGCTTTTTATACTTTTTGGTAAGTTTAATGTGATTG